GCAACGTCAACGTAATTAACACTTTCTCATGCGTTAAAAGCATAGATGAAAACGCTCGTGTCTGAATTTACATTAATAAATTCAACATTGTATAACATTTTATTTTTACTTATTTTAATTATTTTTTTCATTAATAGAAAACTGTCGATTTTATTCATACGGTTTTCTTTCTAGAAACAGTTTTCAATAATTTTGGAACAAAAGTATTTTTATGAGTACTCGAATGGTTTCTTAATCCTAGAACTACACACGTAAATCTGTGAAACTTAGTAAAAATGTCAAATCGTTAACGTACTTTAAAAATTCTTTTTTAAACATTTTTGCCTCTTGTAATTTATTAGCAAACTTGAATTTTGATTTTATAGTCATATCTCTTGATGTCTGACATTTTTCTGGAAAAAAATTACTAGGGATCGAAATATTTTCAGTTTTTTCAGAGTTATTTGTAGAAATATTTGATTGAATCTGAAAGATTCAATATTGTAGTTCGTGTACGTAAAAACATAACGTGTAATTCTAGAATCATATTGAGTTGATTTAAGAATTAATCATAATAAGTACAAAATATATTCCATTATGACTATGAAATAATTTTTATCAAAAGAAACCATCAATTTTACTGGTCACTAAGTTTATGTTTTTACGAATGAGCAAGAGCTCCGTACGATTGCGTGGCTTTTATAACACGTTAAGCGTAGACATCAGTCGTTTAATTAATGATCGCAGAATATAACGAAAGATTAAATTCGCTACATGAGCGAGTCTGGTTCTTGTTGCGATATACGTTTTGTCCGGTTATGTAACTGCGTTGGAAATTTATGACCACTAAAATGCCTCGTCGCTACCCAGTGAGAAATGACGTCGATTCAACATCGATTTCAATGTCATGTACCACGGATAAATTTTAAAAGTTTTCCTATTCCAGAAGCTGCCCATAGATCCCCAGAAGAAAGATTTGCATCAATTTATTGCTCAGTTTATTTATTTTGTTATTGTTAATAAAGATAAATGTAAAATGTCGTGGTCGTCATGAAATCTATCATAAGCAAATAATTGCCTTCTATAACTACTACGGATGATTTATAATTTCCTTAGTTCATTTTATTATAATTCTGTATTCATACTTTACAACAATGTACATATTTAATTTATATTTTCATCACAAGATCTTATTTATAACCGAAGAGAAAACACTCTTTGTAAAATAAAAACAATATGACCAACCAAGAAATACCGAATGTACATACATTAATTGTAACGTTTCTTTAGTACTTTTATTATTTCAATCATGGATTCTAATTCACCTATTAAACATCATGGAAATAAGTAAGATAAGTAGATAAATAAATAAATTCATAAGTTTATTGTTTAGAAAATAACGTTTTGTGCATTTTAGATGCACTCTTCATTAATTTTCATTAATTATCTATAAAATTCATATTATTTCAATATTAAAAGTATTATTTATGCTGAAATATTTTCAACAATATGTCAGTCATTTTCATTTCTTATTTCAACGCTTTCATTATCGATTTCAATAATTTCGGCGATTCTTTTCCAAGGCAGTTTTAAAAGTATTGTAAAAATATATTAAACATGATAATACCTGATGAGGATTAATGT